TTAATTTAATAAAATATAATTTAAATTTTTAATACTAAAATTAAAAGATTAAATAATAATAAATTTAATTCTTTAAATTCAGTAGTTAGAAACTAAAATTATAGTATCTCTGTTTTAAATAATTAAAATAAATATTTAAAAATAAAAATCAAAACTAGTATTATCTTAAATTTATTAAAAGTGTAATTAAATCTCTATTTTCTTAATTTTATTTGTTTCAAACTTCTCAATTCTACATTTTTGTAAGTTCTATCATTATATTATCATCCTCATCTCCTCCCATGTTCTACTTTATCTTTACAATAGTCAATATTCTTAACTAATTTATATTTTTATTTATAATTTTTTAGTATATATTTCAGAAATTAATCAATTCTAATCAATTCTTTGAAAAACTAATCAATTCTAATCAATAATTTAGAAAACTAATCGATTATAATTAATTATTTGAAAAAATTATCAAATATGATCGATCATTTCGAAAATATAATCGATCAGAGCCAAAAATCGCTCGAGCGAGACTAGAGTCGATCAAGCGAAATACAACCCGAGAATGCCAATTTTGTGCAGAGGCGTTTCGCTCGAGCGATGTTATTTTCGCTTGAGCGAATAACACTTATAATAGCGGTTAACGCTTAACCGCTATCTAAAATATATTTTAGATAGCGGTTAACCCCTAATCGCTATCTAAAATACATTTTAGATAGCGGTTAACCCCAAACCGCTATTATATCCTCTCAATTATGATCGATCATTTCAAGTTATGATCGATCAGAATCGTATTTCGCTCGAGCGAGTAGTGTCGCTCAAGCGAAATACAACCCGAGAATTCACAATCTTAAAATATTTTTTGAATATTATGTTTTTAAATTTGCTATTAGAGAAAACCTTTCAGAATTCAAAATGTTAAATAGTTTTAAATATTAAAATTAACTTTATCAAAAATTAGGAAAAAAAAATTATCCAAAAGAGTTCAAAAATGTATAAGAGTATTCTCAATTTTGAGTTTAATTATATTGTTCATTCTCAAAGTAGAAAATTATATTGTAATTATTTTAATTTACATTTTGTGATCTTCTTAAAATTAGCATCAATAACATTAGACTTTACATTTGATTCATACCTAACTAATTATAGATTAAAAGGAAAGTGGTATAACCATGCATTTTACTTTTCTATTTACCTTATTCTTTTAATTCTTTTATATAATAATAATCAAAATATTCACATTCATATGGGAGTTTTCGAAAATAATATTATTGTATTATTAATATTATTGTTAAAATTAGCATCAATAACATTAGACTTGATCTTCTTAATTATATTGTTCATTCTCAAATTAGAAAATTATATTGTAATTATTTTAATTTAATAAAATATAATTTAAATTTTTAATACTAAAATTAAAAGATTAAATAATAATTACTTTAATTCTTTAAATTGAGTATTTAGAAACTAAAATTATAGTTTCTCTGTTTTAAATAATTAAAATAAAAATCAATATCAAAACTAGTATTATCTTCAATTTATTAAAAGTGTAATTAAATCTCTATTTTCTTAATTTTTTTTGTTTCAAACTTCTCAATTCTACATTTTTGTAACTTCTATCATTATATTATCATCCTCATCTCCTCCATGTTCTACTTTATCTTTACAATAGTTAATATTCTTAAATAATCTATATTTTTAATTATAAATTTCATAAATTAATCAATTCTAATCTATTATTTGAAAAACTAATCAATTCTAATCAATAATTTAGAAAACTAATCGATTATAATTAATTATTTGAAAAAATTATCAAATATGATCGATCATTTTGAAAATATAATCGATCAGAATCGGATTTCGCTTGAGCGAGTACTCTCGCTCAAGCGAAATACAACCCGAGACTTAACAATCTTAAAATATGGTTGTATATGATAGCGGTTCCACCGGAACCGCTCTTAAAAGGAACTTCTAATAGCGGTTAAACCTTAACCGCTATCTAATATACACTTTAGATAGCGGTTATAAAGGAACCGCTATTATATCCTCTCAATTATGATCGATCATTTCAGGTTATGATCGATCAGAATCGTATTTCGCTCGAGCGAGAGTGGTGTCGCTCAAGCGAAATAGAACCCGAGAATGCCAATTTTGTGCAGGGGGCGTTTCGCTCGAGCGAGACCACTCTCGCTCGAGCGAAAACGATACTGATCGATCATAACCTGAAATGATCGATCATTTTAGATAGCGGTTCCACAATAACCGCTCTTAAAAGTGCACTTCTAATAGCAGTTAATTATTAACCGCTATCTAAATGATACTTTAGATAGCGGTTAACGTGGAACCGCTATCATATCTTCTCAATTATGTTCTTATTATCATCGATCATAATGAAAAATTACATTAACTATTTTTTTGAATATTATGTTTTGAAATTTGCTATTAGAGATACAGCTTCTCAAACCGCTATCATATCTTCTCAAACAAGTTTTTAACTGATACAACTTTGATAGAACCGATGAAAATTACAAGTGAAATGTTTTTACAATATTTTAATCGATACAACTTGATTTTAATCGATTAAAACCACTTAAGGGTTCAGGATGATCGATCATAATGCAATTATGACCGATCAGAATCAGTTTTAATCGATTAAATCTCGTTTCAATCGATTAAAACAACTTAAAATTTTCTACACAGCGTTTTAATTGATTAAAACTTATTTTTATCAGTTAAAATAACTTGAAAAGTTTTACAAGAAAGTTTTGCAGTATTTCAATCGATTGAATCGTGAAACAATTGATTAAATCAACTTAGAGGATTTTTTGTAAAGTGTTTTAATTGATATAAACGTTGTCGTATCAGTTAAAACAAATCTGTTAAAGAATCAAGAACGTATTAATGGATTAAAAGAAGTTTTAACAGATTAAAACTGCACTTTTAACAGATTAAAAGAATCTTTTAACAGATTAATTAAACCAACAGTTTTGAAAATCTTCTATTAAAACAGTTTGGCTTGAACTTTTTTAACATACATTGAATATCATCTTTTACACATCCTTGAGCAATCAATCAAGCAAACTTCGAGCACTCTTTTCAAGAAAGATTCGCATCAGTTTTTGAGAAGTTCTTTGAAAATCTTTCTTGAGGCAACTTGATTTCTTTTGAAGAAGAAACACTTACGCAGAATTGCATAAAGCTGATTTGAGCATTCTAGTTTCTTCTTTTTCATTTCTTTACATTCTTTTTGTATTATTTGGTGCCTAGAATTTGGGCACTTGGTTTCTCTCTAGATTGGAATTTGGTTGTAGAGGTTATTAAGAAGCTGGAATTTGGTAATACGGAAAACATTTCAGAAAGCAAAATGTTAAATACTTTTAAATATTAAAATTGACTTTATAAAAAATTAGGAAAAAAAAATCAAAAAGAGTTCAAAAATGTATTATAATATTTTCAGTTTTAGTTTAATTATATTTTTCATTCTCAAAGTAGAAAAATATATTGTAATATTATTTTAATTTAATAAAATATAATTTAAATTTTTAATACTAAAATTAAAAGATTAAATAATAATAAATTTAATTCTTTAAATTTAGTATTTAGAAACTAAAATTATAGTTTCTCTGTTTTAAAAAATTAAAATAAATATTTAAAAATAAAAATCAAAACTATTATTATGTTAAATTTATTAAAAGTATAATTAAATCTCTATTTTCTTCAATTTTTTAATATAAATTTTTAAAATATAAATTAATTTCAATTGAAATTTTCAATTGAAAAATAAATTCAAGAATATTTGTTATTAAACTTTTCTTAAACAATGTATTGAATAGTTAACATCACTCTAGTCTTAATTTATTACAATTTAAATTTTTAATAAATTTGATTTATTACAATTCATTTTGTTAATATTGAGACCAAAGTTTATTTTTAAAGTATATTTTAAAAATTAAATTATTTTTAAAAACTAAATTAATTTTAAAAAATAAATTGTAAAAAATATACTAAAACAATTAAAGTATATTTATAAAAAAAATTTAAATATAATAAAAAAATAATATTCATTAGCGACCGATTTCAATTCGGTCAGCTATTTTCTCATTAGCGATCGATTTTAATTCGGTCACTATTTCAATTTGTAATTCGGTCACTAAATCAGTCGCTAAATGATTTTTTTATTTCAGTATGAAATAGCCATCGATTTAGCGATCGAAATTTTGCTTCGCAAAAATATTGGTCGCTATTTCGGTCGCTAAATAAAAAAGTGCAAAATAAATCATATTTTGGTCGCTAAATCGATCGCTAATTGCAACCGAATTAAAGTGGTCACTGAATCGGTCGCTAATTGCGACCGAATTAAAGTGGTTGCTAAATCGGTCGCTAATTGCGACCAAAATTAAATCGGTCACTAAAATGGTCGCTAATTGCGACCGAAAAAATTCGGTCGCTAATTTCGGTGGCTAAATGTGTTTTTTCTTGTAGTGTGCACCAATTTTTTGGTGTTTTAATAAAAATCAATAATGACTCTATAATTTAACAAGGAATTTAACCGAAACCATTAATATTATAATTAAGTTTGGGTGACGAAGAAAATATGCAATATTGATAATCAATGATCAATTGAGCTATGTAGCTCGTAAAAAGTCAAAACATATTAAAATAAAAATAAAAATGATTGAATGATAATAATACTAATATTGAGTATTATCATAATTATAATAAATGACACTATGACAACAAAAATAAAATAAAAATGATAATAAATATTATGACATAATAACTTTCTAAATCAGTTGTTCTTCACTGAAATTATAGATAGTTCTACCATAACAATTTCGCAAGCATACGGTTGTACCTTTGGTTTTGATATAATTTTTAACTAAGGCACACATGAAACTGCACCAAAAAAAAAATGAAAAGCATATATTTATTTGCCTTGAGAAGCATCCAAGTTCAGGCATAAAAGCTTTCTAAGATGTTGATGATAACATAAGTTTTTATCACCCAAACTTTTAGGCAATCCATGGCATAATCTCTTCAGCAGCTTTCCTGTAAGTTTCCTCGCTTGAATTTCCATCACAAGCTTGTTTTCCCTGTCGCATCAACAATTCAATTCAGTTAATAAATTTAACTCAACACTTGAATAAAAACATTGATACAACTTTACAACCTAAAATATTTCGTTATCTAATATCAAATCATTATATAACAAATTTATCCATACTTATCTTAAAAATCCATGCAAACTGTAATTTTTAGTTAATTCACAATATCATTTTTGTCTAGTTTGTTTGTAATGATTTTTTTAATAAAATAAAAAAATTATTGTTTTTCTTATATTTTTCTTGTCTACTCTATTTATTTTAAAAATAAACAAATTTATGTTTATTTAAAAAATCAAACTTAAAAATAAGGATGACAATGGGGTGACAAGATACGGATACTAATTATCCATAATAAGCCTGGGTCAGAAAAAACAAATCCGTGAATATTTTTTATACTTTTCCATATTTATAGATAGTTACGATTTTTTATTTGAATAAGAGTATTTAAAAACTATTTTTAAAAATATATATTTTTATGTATTTTTTATCTTAAACTATAATTTAAACCATATTATGCATCATAGTATAACTAAAATTAATCTTTATAAAATATTAATTTAAATAAATTAAAGAATAAATTTAAATTTAAATAAACCACACAAATGTAAAAATTCAAATAGTAAATCAGTCTTTAATTATTAATATTAATTCAAAATAAATTTAAATTTAAATTATTAGAAGGTAAAGGATATATACGGATATGGATACTATTATACTGCTATTCATATAATTAATAAATATGTAATTAAAATATTCATCCTAATTACCCACATATATCAATTTAAAAAATTGTTTTATATATGTTCCAGGTAGATTTTACCTACAGACCATTCTTTTTGTCATCCTAATCCTAAGTTAATTTACTGAAATTCAAAATAAGTATTTATCAATGAAATAATTTTAAATAAAACACTTATTTAAGAAGAAAATGAGATTTACTTCTTGAAATAAAAAATAAAGCACTGTATATTTTTAAATAAGTAGATTAAATAAATACATAAGAAATATATGAGAATGGAAAACAAAAATGCAATCCTTTATTAAAAATTAATATATTAACAATTAAAAATTGTGAATATAAAAAAATGTTAGTTTATTAAAAAATAAGTTTTTTTTTTAAATAAACGCAAATAAACAACTCTCTGTCTATTTTTAAATTAAGTAATTTTTTTTAAACTACTTATTTTAAATTAAAGCAAATGGGTGATTGATGCGACAAAGCCACGAAACACTTGATTTTTATTACCAAGAAAGAAGTAAGAAATTGAGAATAAGAAAAATGCATGGCGGAAATGAAGTTTGAAACTTACATGGACTTGAATCATGCATGTATTTCCAATTCCATTGGCTGAAATGGTGGCAGATATGAGTTCTATGTTGTGCTTCTCCAGCACAGAAGCAATGTTTGTCATGAGTCCTGGCTTATGAACCGAGCAAATGGAGAACTGAGCTTCATTTCCACGAATGTTGAGCACCATGTTTGAAGCAGCCCAGGTTTTCTCAAAAGCTACTTTCTGCTTCCCAGACACTGAAACTGCACCTGAAGTTGTGGTTCCCATAATCTGTTTCAGACCATCTTGTGCCCTTTCTTGCTTCTTTCTCTCTAGCTTTTCCAGGGTTTCCTGCAGAACTTTTATGTGGTTCACTGCTTCATTGATTATGGTTGCTTTATCAACCTAAGAAAAAGCATATGTGACAACATCTTAGAATAACATTCTAACCTTAACTCTGTTAATTGTCCTGAGGTGGGTAATTTGGGTACACAGTTCTACTCACAATAATGACTCTTAATTTTTAATCTAAAAAAACTCCATTTAATATTTTTAAATTCATCACTTTAGAGTTCTCCCCAAAAAACTGTTGACTTTTACTGCATCCTATTTTCTTTTCATTAAATGTGTATAATAATAATAATAATAATAATAATAATAATAATAATAATAATAATAATAATAATAATAATAATAATAATAATAGTGTTTTAAAGTACAAATATCAAACTTGGTTTCAAATTCTTTCTCCTTTCATTAATGTCAAATCCTTCTCTTTCTTGTTTTATTAAATTTCTGGAATAAATTTGCTTTCAAACATGAATTAATAATACAATTAGAAAATAATACAGCTAGATGAATTAATGTGTTATATCTTATATCCAATGGCTTAGATTAAGCCATTTCTAATTAGACTGGTATTATTACTGCATTGGATCCAAATTTACAATTAAACTATTAAACTACAAATTATAAATGATTGGGATGTTATAGAAGTATTATATTATCATTATCATTAAATTAATTTTTATTTAACACATAGGATACTCGTTTTTGGTATAAGTGATTTGTATGTAACCTTTATTCAACGGTTTTTATTGAGAAAATTCAAATGCATTAAGGCAATTACACAAAGATTTCTATTTTTGGAGATTTGGTCAAATTATTTGTCATGGTCATAATTTAACCGTCATCATACTTAGGCAATATTCATTAAACTACTTTGAAAAAAAAAATTGATTCTTTTTAGGCACTAGAAATCAATAAGAAAAGGGTTTAGTTTACAAAAATTGATGTAAGGATTGAATGTTTTATTGCAACCATGTAAGAATGTAAATTTGAGATCTTTTGTGCAAAATGGGGATTTTTTTTTAATTTTATTTGAAGGTACGTGGAAAATTGAAAACTTTCATGTCCATTCTATATTTCCTATCTATCAATGTTGAGGGAAAAAACTAAGAAACTTGACATATACTATAGGGAGAAAAAAAAAACTTTATTTAAAAAAAAAGGGTCAAAATTAAGTGGAAGGAAAGAGAAATATAGAGTTACATCGTTGAAAAATTATGTTCATAAATGATAAAATTATTAAAATCATTAAATATCCTTGAAAACATTGAGTAATGAAACACATACCTTGGAAGGAAGTTGTGGGAGTAAACCACTAAGATCCTCAAACATTTCTTTCATTTTCTTTCGTCTTTCTCTTTCAATCGATGGATGCATTTCATTATTTATTTCCAGACATGTCCCTTCACCACTAGCAATAATTTTCTTCTCATTTTCACCACCGATATCTGGATTTTGCTTCTTATTCATGAGGGCTCCCTGTTGTTGTTGGTTCCATGGCTTCTTCTTCTCCTTTCTTTCACTAGAGTGATTAGAACTTGAAGAGGTCCCTATATGGTTTCCCAATGGGAAGTCCATATCAAGTAAATATTCATCTTCTGCCATGAAAGTGTAGAGAAAGAGAAAGAAAGAGAGATTAAAGGTGAAGAAAATTGAGTTTGAGTTTATTGAGGAAGATTGAGAATGGTTCATTTATTCTAAGGTGATTAAGTCTAAGGAGGTGCAAAGAGAAAATATAAATGTCAAAAGTAACTAACTCAGAACAAACCAAAATACATTCGTAAGAATGTGGCGTTACGTTGAATTCTAATAAATACATTAAATAATATTATATTTATATATAGTTTTTAATATTGTGTACAAAAATATTTCATCCTCAATTTATTCTGATCCCACCACATTTTGTGACCCCACTTGCTTGTTAGAAAGGGTTTTGTTTAATTTATTTCAATTTTGAAAAAATATATTAGTCTTTCTAAAAACCAGTTAATTTTTTTTATAATATAAATATAATTTAATACATTCTACGACATTTCTCATCATTTTGAAACTTAAAATATTTTAGCGACATAATTAAGACAGAACATCAATAAATTATTTTCATTTTACTTGTAATTATGAAACTCTATTTTCTTCTTCATTCCATTTATTTCGGTTCTTTTGTCTTATTCCTACCCCAATCATGATAAATTAATGATAATAATTATTTTCATCAAAATTATTATATACATATCAAATTTTATTGAATATATTTATGATGACAAAATGGATAATCCATTTAAATAAATGATGAGATGCGTTTAAATATAAAATTGGTTCATAATTTTAGTTTATCAGTTTATTTTAGTTTGTCCCATCTAATGTAGCGAGTCAAGCGTAGACCGACCCACTTTAAAAATATTTATATATTAAAATTAAAATAAAAAATATTATAATTAAAAATATTATATTTTTATATTATGTTATTAAAATATGTAAATATATTATAATATTATGATTTAAATAATAAATATTAACTAATTAAGTTAAATTATTAATTATAATTAATTATCTTAACATATAAATATAATAATTTTTTTAAATTTTTAATAAAAATATTAATTAATAAATAAATACTTACCAATCATACCTATAATTAAATATGTATTCTTTTAAAAATACATATAAATATTTATATAAAAGAAAATATTAGCCAATAAAAGAAAATATTAGCCGATTAACTTAAGTCGACTCTTTGGTGGTAGTTGTAATTATAACAAGTTAGCTTGTCTTGCTCTTGTTTTTTTTTTTTAACTAGATGAGACAAACTAACTTGTTTTATCATCTCTAATTATTTTTATCTTTTCTTTTTCATATAAAGTCTTAACCTCTTTAAATATTATCTTTTCTTCTTGTGTATATGAATATATGATAAAAATTAAAAATATATTTATTAAAAAATATAATTAAATTGAAAGAAATTAAAGCCTTAGTTTTTAAGTTATAATTAATATTTAGTTGAACTTATTTAATACTTTCACGTATGTCCAGCTTGGCCTCACTCTACGAGTCAAGTAAAAAAATTGATGGTTCAACCCGACTTATATTTTAAAACGGAAAAAATATTTTAGTCTAGTCTGATCCTATGTTAGGCCAACAGGTAAATTTTGACAATATTGATTAAAAAAAATATCCATATAAAATTAATTAATTAAAAAATGTATTTAAATAAAAAATAAAATATATTTTGAGAATTTAAATTTTATTAATGAAATTAATTTTTGTTTAAGATATAATGATTTAATATAAGAAAATAAAATATTTTTAAAATATTAATATTTTAGAATTTAAATTTATATATAAAATAGAGACAAAGATGGATCGAAATAAGGATTACATTACTCATCCCCACTCCCAACTTTTTAAAGTGAAAAAAAATCTAAACTTATTCTCGTTCTCGATCAACTAAATTTTTCTAAGTCAAATTCGAGACAAAGACTAATCGACAAGTATGAATTTAATTATCATTCCTATTAGAAACTAACTAACATAGGAAAATAGAAAGTAAAAAACTCTCTTTGTTTAGTAGCAAGAAAAGTGACAATATTATTTTTTATTACAATTATATATATATATATATATATATATATATATATATATATATATTTTTCTCGTTGAAAAAAAATGGAAAGTGAAAAAAAAAAGAAGTTATTTTACAAAAAGTTATCCTTTTATAATAAATATTATATTAAACTAAAAATAATTAAATAGATAATTTTATAATTATATAAAAATTAAATTTTAATTAAATAATAATTTTTATTCATGATCCCTCAAAGGAACATATATAATTTTAACTCTAATTCAATTTTTTTTTTTCTTATTTCTAAAGGACTGAGATAAGAGGGCAAGGTTAATGAATAAACAGACTTAAATCCACTTTTATTTTTTATAGTTCTGTGAATAAATAATTTTGGTCCTAATAAAAAATTAATTGCATCTTTTGGTTTTATAAAATTAATGAATTTTTATTCAATTATTAAAATAAAAATGTTAAGTCAATATAATATATATATTAAGAGTTTTGTTAATTTTGTTATTATTAATACTTTATATTAATATCTTATGTAAATAAGTAATTATCATTATTATTACTTACATACACATGATTTTGTTTTATAATTAGATGATATATTAATAGTAAATCAAAATTCTTAATTTTAGAAAACTATAAAATTAAATTCACAAATAAATTTTTTAAGAATCAAAATTATATATTTATGACACTATAGTGACAAAAATAAATGAATCATAGAGACAAAAATAAATTTAAGTCAATAAGAATAATTTTATTTAAAACCATAACATTAAATGTGAACTCAATCCACCTTATAGCATTAGTTATATTATGCTGTAAACAATATTATTTTTTCTAGCTACATTTCTTTTGTAATTTTAAGGTACTACTTGGATCTAATTAATGTTGTTTTCCTTTGCTCATTAACAAAATATGTATTGTTTTTTTTTATATTATAATCTAAAATAGTTTATATCATAAACAATGATTTTAAATAGTTATATATAATTTATTACGTAATATAAAATTAAAATTATATATAATTACGTCTTTAAATTTAAATAATATTTTGTGAAAAAAGGTAAAACAATGTTGAACAAAAGTATATTAAAATTGCATGTAAAAACTTAAAATAAATTTTATATATACAGCTATCTTATCTTATTTATAAAAATAGTAAACTTTACACATTGAATTACCTACCTAAAAATAATTTAATTATTTTAATTTAAAATATTTGTGTATCTTAATTAACATTTTTTTTAACGTTAATCTAAACTATATTTAATAATATGAAGTAAAAAAATACTACAAAAAATATCACAGAATATCATATTTACAAACATTGAAAAAAGAAACATTTAAATATTTCATATATATTTTTTTATACTGAACACACAACTATAGTTTTAACATTAAACCACAAATATTAGAGCATATATATGTTTGCTTTCACAATAGTTGAATTTAAGGCATAAAAAGTCCACACATAGTTTTAAGAAAATAATAATAATAATAATAATCACAATAAACAAGATAATAATAATTATAATAATAATATAAGCTTTTATAAATCCAAAATTTTAAGCGATCCAAAGCATAATCTCTCCCGCAGCTTGCCTGTAAATTTCTTCCACTGAATTTGCATTTAGAAACTGATGTGAAGCTCGTTTCCCCTAAATCATAAGAAGAAAAAAAAAAAGGTTATAAAACACGTGTTTTATTTATCAATTAGTTCACTTCACGTAAAACATTTTATAGTTCAGTTTATTTCTAACAAATTACATTTCAAGTTCAATATAATTTTTTATAAATAAGTTCAATATCATCCTCATATGAAAAATAGTAACTGAAACAATGTTCCGGAAATCAATTCATGAAAAGTGAATTAGAAAAGAAAGAAAGAAAAAAAAAATGGTGGGTATTGAGTTTGAAACTTACATGAACTTGAATCATGATTGCATTTCCATTCCCAATGCAAGAAATGTTGGCAGATACGAGCTCTATCTCGTACTTCTCGAGCACAAAAGCTATGCTGGACATGAGCCCGGGCTTGTGGGCCGCACAGACGCAGAATTGGGCCTCATCTCCACAAACACTCAAGACCATGTTTGAAGAGGTCCACGTTTTATCAAAACTTACTGGAAGCGCGTTTGAAGAAGCTCCCATCATCGCGTTGGAAAAGTTGTTATTGGAAGAAAATCCCTGAGCAGTGACGAACGTTGATGATGATGACTTATACCCAAACGCGGTGCTATATTGAACCCTTTCTTGTTTCTGTTTCTCTAGCTTTTCCACGGTTTCCTGAAGATTTTTTATGTAGCTCACCGCTTCATCCACAACCGTTGATTTATCCACCTTCACAAATATCAAACACCAAACACCAAAGCATCTCATTTAACGTGACATTTCATGATGAAATTATTTGATTATCAACCTCAAATTATGAAAATGGACTATTTACCTTAGAAGGAAGATGGGGAAGCATAGCATGAAGACTACTGAACATGTTTTTCATTCTTTTTCTCCTTTCTCTCTCAGTCCATATATGCATTTCATGTTCATCAGATTCGCGACTCTTTTCACCTTTTCCTTCACCACTGGCAGCAACATTGCTCGGGTCTCGAATTGCGTTCTTGTTCATGAGAGCTTCATCCTTTTCATTCTTCTGGTTTTTTGAGTTGGTGTTTTCTTTACTTTCACGCCAGTTAGCAGAAGAATTGGAGGGATCCCATGAATGGTTTTCCAATAAGAAGTTCATATCATGAAAATCTTCATCTTCTAATATCAAGGCCATGTTAGATTGAGGGAGAAACAAAAATTATGAAGCTAGATTTGATGAGAAGAAGATTGGAAAACACAGGTTTATATAGAAGTGAGAGTGTGTGAAGATGCAAGAGAAAATAGAACAAGTTATTTCATAATCATTTAAGTAATTAAAAATATTTAACAAACTAATCTACGTTATATGTTTATAGACACATAATGAAAATCCCCTACGAAATGGTTTCTTGAAGAAATAAAAAATACAAAGTTTTTATTAAAAAAAAAAAGCTTTTATTGTGAACAATGTATTTTTCACCTTGGTTTTAATTTAAAAAAAAAAAGCATTTACGGGTTTTAAAGATAGTTAACAGAAATGTTTTTATTGATATTTTATTATATGTTCAATTCCTAATAAGTTTCACTCCCATTAAATGATTATTTTTTTCAAAGTAAATAATTATGTAGTTTTACAGGTTTTATATAATAAAGATTTGTGTCAATTAAACATTTTATTAAAACTTATAATAAGATACATACAACAATATTAATAATGTCAGTACTAATAATTAAAGAAATATTGGTAAAATGCTCTTTAACACATTATTTCAATACAAGATTCTAAATAAAATAAAACTAATGTGGATTTCATTAAATTGTACATGTCTTTAAGCTATTCGTAACCATATTTAGAAGAAGATCAGTATTTAAAGTCATAGTATCACCTAATTAATAGAGTCATACACAATTATTTAAAAAACAAATTCATGTAAATTGTATGCTTCAATTTTAATCATTAATTACAAGATTTAAAATTTTAGTAGTGGTGTCTGGTATCTCTCTTTGAACAAATAATAATAACCAACATGTATTTCTTAATCAAATGATTTATTTAGGATTCCACATTCCTCGTAGCTATGAATAATCTATACCAATACCATAAACATATTATTAAAACTTACATTTTGACAGTTAAAAAACACAATCTCTTATAAAATTAAGATGTTAACATCTTTACTTGTTTCCATTAATTTTTTAATGCTTCTTATCCGCGTTACTTTGAAAATCTAAACTCATAAACTTTATATATTTGCTTTTTTTAATCACATTATTTATATTATCTTTCTAATGGGTGAAATAATATTCCCTTGTAACCATTTTTGTTCTTATATGCAAGTCCAAATGATGGGTGAATTAGGGAATGAGTACACTCTTCACTTTCCTAATTAGAGGAAAATATGCTAACGTTAATAATGATGATTTAGATGCATTTTATTACCATTCTCCAAGTAACTTTTCTAATGTTTTATGTGTTTATATTTCATCTATAGTAAACATGATCATCTTACGAAAAATATAGAGGCTATTTATATATATTTTCATGAAGATGTTAGCTTTAGATAATAAATATCACGTAATGTGGGAGTGATGTAAGTAATATAAAGAAAGATGGTGTAACTATATGACAATCTATTCACTTTAAGTTTTTATGAAGTTAGAAATTTAAAGTTAGCTTTTCATTCCTACAAATTGGTAGTATTGCATGCAACTCTTGAGTGGTTTTGCTCACTCAGTCCACAGATTCCAAACCAAACCTAACCAAGAAAACAGCAACACGCAAAGTGGCTTCTATGAAACGGTCTTGTGTATGTTGTGTTTGCATCTTTTTTGCTTCCGTTTGATAATAAAGAGAGTTTCACTAACTTTTCTGAACATGATTAACCATCGTTAAAGAATGAAGAACAAGTAATTAGTTAGTCATTATTGATCAGTTTAAAAGGTGAAGTTGAGAATCATGCATGGAGTACTCAGTGTAACTACAATGGTTTCAAAATGTTTTCTACACGTCACTCTATGTATAAATAGTAAATATAAATAATAAAAATCTTTCAGATTTTGATTATTAAATGAAAAAAAGACATGTACTTTTGAGGAAACATAGGTGAGGAAACGCGGTGGCGTACATCATTCCCATATACGGTGGTACAGAGTACAAGTAACAATACCAACGTTATAAAATCAAATAAGACAAAACACAATCATGTTTGGGAATACACAAACTACGTTTCTTGGTCTTGAAAACGTTGCAGAAGCAGAAGCTTAAATTCTGCAGAAAAGAAAATGAGTGGAGTGATGATGAGGTTCAGTAATTCAAGTATAATTGAGAACCATAGAACAAAATACGCTCATGTTATTATTCGTTGTGTGTTCCATTTTTACTGTGTTATTTTATTTTAATATTTATATTATAATTTTAATTTTACATATATATTATTTTTATTATATTTATTAAAAATATAACTTATATTAATATATAATAGATATCTCATTTTATATACTGTTTTAATCCATAATGATATATAATTAAACCTATTAATTTATAACATTGAAAAAAAAAATTACGTGAAGTATTTATTTTATATATATATTTAATAATAATTATATACAATGAGATTCTCTTCTGTAATCTATATTTCTATTAAAAAAAGTAAAAAGAAAAAGAAAAAAATATCATATTTAAACAATAAATAGTTATTATAATTTATAATATTTAAAAAATAATAAATGTATAAGAAACAAATAGTATGATATATAAACAGTAAAAAAATAAGTACATTTAAAAAACTATGAGAAAATTAATTAAAAAGAAAAACTTTAATGTCTATTTTTTACTATATTTAATAATTTATTTTCATTATTCTTTTTTTGTAACTTCTATATTGTGATTTTAAATATTATTAGAAATAAAATAAATTATATTTGTATATGATATATTCAATTATATAGCTAACGTAAGATGGTAGATTCTATTTTGATATAATCAATTACAGAGTAATTATTTTATTATACTTATATTTATTTGATTACAATATTTTTATAGATATATTTTTTTATTTTCACTACTTTTTTTTCTTCATCATTACCTATCAAGTGAGTTTTGTATTATTATTTAAAAATATTATTAAAAAATATATGAGTATGCACTAAATTAAAAAAAAAAAACAAATCCATTTTATCCATTATTATGAATGATTATTATATAATATTATTTATTTTGTTATTGACTAATATTTATCATAGAATTACACTAATCAGTACTTTAACCCTTTTTTGTTTCAATGTTTTATTCTATAAACGGTGAATATGTTAACTTTTAATAAAAACAAACAGTACTATATGATAATTACTTAATATAATCAATTATATCGTTAATATCTATGTTAGATAGTAGATTATATTTTGATATAATGGATTACATATAATTATTTTATTATACTTATATTTATTCTATTACAATATTTTTATAGATATAATTGTTTATTTTCATTACTTTTTTATCATTATCTTTCATGGAGAGTTTTATATTATAATTTAAAATATTATGAAAAATAAAATGAAAAGTTATTAGTGTGCAACAAATTAAAAATATCCTTCATCTATTATTATAAATGATACTAACATATTGTATTAAAATAATATTTTAAGTAAAATAAAAAACACCAAATTAAAAAATCTTGATATTAGTAAATAATATTATTTATTTTATTATTGATTAATGATATTAATCGTTACGTTAACTTTAGTTTAATTATGTTGAAAATATTATTTTTTATTTAAATTAGATATTAATTTTTTTATTATCTTAAAAAAAGGAATATATTATATATAAAAAAGAATATATCATATTATTATTTTGATTTAAACCGTGAGATATTATTAATATTGTATTATATTTTTACACTAATTAATATTTAATATCTTATTATATTTTTACCCTAGGGTAATAACATATAATGAGATTCAATTATTTATTCCGTAAGTTGTAGGAGTAAGACGTGAGTTTGGATTTCATTGCAAAAGCGGAAGGTGTGATTAATTTAAAAAAAAATTACATAATTATGTCACGATCTAATCAAATATATTTAATCTCATAATGAATTATGATATGATCCATTTTGGTTTGACATAATTGATTTTTCATACATACTTTATTATTGATATTTATTTTATTATATGTTATTTCTTTTGTTTCTTGGTGTATGATGTTTAAAGGTTTTTTTAGATAAATTCACAACATTAATTTTCATAATTTACAATAAATTTGTTAAATTTTCTAAAAATATATTAATTATTTTTCATATTCTATTTAAAATCATTTATAATAATATATTATTTTTTATCCACAATAAATAAATAAAAATATATGTAATATAATTTTAAACTTTAAAAATTATAAATAAATATAGTTTTTTTTTAAATCTATCAACCAAAAAGGAATACAGAGTAGTAAGTAAAATATATATTAAAATAATAAATAATAATAAATAACTTTTTTCTTACTTTTTATTTTTTCACTATCTTTCATTTAATTTAAATAACGTATATTTTTATTTATTTCCTTTTTTTACTCCCTCACTTTTCATCATCCAGTGACATAAAATATAAAGGAATTAAACCCAGTTATTTAACTTGTTTTCCATTCATTTAACTCGAAAAAGTTTTTTTAATTATGTTTTATATTATGAAGAACAAAAACAAGGTTTCTAATACTTCTTTGTTAAATTTTTATTAATATATTACTTACATAATTATATACATAAAATATTATTTATCAAATTTAATATGTATACTATTATAAATAATTATATAAGTAATACATTTATTTAAGTAATACAATATTTATTGAATTTAATAATTTAATGATTATGTACGAAATGTGATTATAACAAAAGTCTGATCTATACCTATACATATAGATACTATAGTTGCTTATTATTTCTTAAAAATATAATTTAAGAAAATAATTAATATATTTTAAAATAAATTTGGTTCAAAATATATTTTTAATATTTAAATTGTAATATATTAAATGACAAAATTATGATTTTAAATTGAATTTTTTAGATATATAATATTTAATAAAACTATAGTTATAAATATAAATAAGATTTATTTTATCTATAACAATTAGAGGTGCCAAACCAATCTCTCCCCCTCCCTCTCTCTCTCTCTCTCTCTCTGTATATATATATA